ACACAATGCTTGCTGTAGTTGGGGACAGCTGTGTGTGTTCCGTGCACACTGTGTGTGTGTACTGTGTGTAGGAGAGTACACTGTGTGTGTACTATGTGTGTGTGTACACTGTGTGTGTGTACACTGTGTGTACGTACCAGTCTGACAGCGGGCACAGCGTACACAATGCTTGCTGTAGTTGGGGACAGCTGTGTGTGTGTGTGTCTCACTGTGTGTGTGTGTGTGTCTGTGTGTGTCTCACTGTTAGTGTGTGTGTCTGTGTGTGTCTCACTGTGTGTATGTGTGTCTGTGTGTGTACACTGTGTGTGTGTGTACACTGTGTGTGTGTACACTGTGTGTGTGTGTCTCACTGTGTGTGTGTACACTGTGTGTGTCTCACTGTGTGTGTGTCTCACTGTGTGTGTACACTGTGTGTGCGTACGTACCAGTCTGACAGCGCGCACAGCGTACACAATGCTTGCTGTAGTTGGGGACAGCTGTGTGTGTGTGTCTATGTGTGTGTGTCTCACTGTGTGTGTGTGTGTCTGTATGTGTCTCACTGTGTGTGTGTGTCTGTGTGTGTGTCTCACTGTGTGTGTGTGTCTGTGTGTGTGTGTGTCTGTGTGTGTGTCTGTGTGTGTGTGTGTACACTGTGTGTGTGTGTGTACACTGTGTGTGTGTACACTGTGTGTACGTACCAGTCTCACAGCGGGCACAGCGTACACAATGCTTGCTGTAGTTGGGGACAGCTGTGTGTGTCTGTGTGTGTACACTGTGTGTCTGTGTGTGTGTGTCTCACTGTGTGTAAACTGTGTGTGTCTCACTGTGTGTGTACACTGTGTGTACGTACCAGTCTGACAGCTGGCACAGCGTACACAATGCTTGCTGTAGTTGGGGACAGCTGTGTGTGTTCCGTGCACACTGTGTGTGTGTGTGTCTGTGTGTGTGTGTCTGTGTGTGTACACTGTGTGTGTGTGTCTCACTGTGTGTGTGTCTCACTGTGTGTGTGTGTCTCACTGTGTGTGTGTGTCACTGTGTGTGTGCGTCTGTGTGTGTGTACACTGTGTGTGTGTACGTACCAGTCTGACAGCGGGCACAGCGTACACAATGCTTGCTGTAGTTGGGGACAGCTGTGTGTGTTCCGTGCACACTGTGTGTGTGTACTGTGTGTAGGAGAGTACACTGTGTGTGTACTATGTGTGTGTGTACACTGTGTGTGTGTACACTGTGTGTACGTACCAGTCTGACAGCGGGCACAGCGTACACAATGCTTGCTGTAGTTGGGGACAGCTGTGTGTGTGTGTGTGTCACTGTGAGTGTGTATCACTGTGTGTGTGTGTCACTGTGTGTGTGTGTGTGTACACTGTGTGTGTACACTGTGTACGTACCAGTCTGACAGCGGGCACAGCGTACACAATGCTTGCTGTAGTTGGGGACAGCTGTGTGTGTGTGTGTGTACACTGTGTGTCTGTGTGTGTGTGTCTCACTGTGTGTACACTGTGTGTGTCTCACTGTGTCTGTGTCTCACTGTGTGTGTACACTGTGTGTGTACACTGTGTGTACATACCAGACTCACAGCGGGCACAGCGTACACAATGCTTGCTGTAGTTGGGGACAGCTGTGTGTGTTCCGTGCACACTGTGTGTGTGTGTGTCTGTGTGTGTGTCTGTGTGTGTGTGTCTCACTGTGTGTACACTGTGTGTGTGTACGTACCAGTCTCACAGCGGGCACAGCGTACACAATGCTTGCTGTAGTTGGGGACAGCTGTGTGTGTGTGTGTGTACACTGTGGGTGTGTACATACCAGTCTCACAGCGGGCACAGCGTACACAATGCTTGCTGTAGTTGGGGACAGCTGTGTGTGTGTGTGTGTGTCTCACTGTGTGTGTGTGTGTCTCACTGTGTGTGTACACTGTGTGTGTGTGTACACTGTGTGTACATACCAGTCTCACAGCAGGCACAGCGTACACAATGCTTGCTGTAGTTGGGGACAGCTGTGTGTGTGTGTCGGTGTGTGTGTGTGTGTCTCACTGTGTGTGTGTGTGTCTCACTGTGTGTGTACACTGTGTGTGTGTGTACACTGTGTGTACATACCAGTCTCACAGCGGGCACAGCGTACACAATGCTTGCTGTAGTTGGGGACAGCTGTGTGTGTTCACTGTGTGTGTCTCACTGTGTGTGTGTACACTGTGTGTGTGTCTCACTGTGTGTGTACACTGTGTGTGTACACTGTGTGTACGTACCAGTCTCACAGCGGGCACAGCGTACACAATGCTTGCTGTAGTTGGGGACAGCTGTGTGTGTGTGTGTGTCTCACTGTGTGTACACTGTGTGTACACTGTGTGTGTGTCTCACTGTGTGTGTACACTGTGTGTGTACACTGTGTGTACGTACCAGTCTCACAGCGTGCACAGCGTACACAATGCTTGCTGTAGTTGGGGACAGCTGTGTGTGTGTGTGTCTGTGTGTGTGTCTGTGTGTGTGTCTCACTGTGTGTGTACACTGTGTGTGTGTACACTGTGTGTACGTACCAGTCTCACAGCGGGCACAGCGTACACAATGCTTGCTGTAGTTGGGGACAGCTGTGTGTGTACACTGTGTGTGTACACTGTGTGTGTGTGTGTACGTACCAATCTCACAGCGGGCACAGCGTACACAATGCTTGCTGTAGTTGGGGACAGCTGTGTGTGTGTGTCTGTGTGTCTGTGTGTGTGTATGTACACTGTGTGTGTCTCACTGTGTGTGTGTGTGTGTCTCACTGTGTGTACACTGTGTGTGTATACGTACCAGTCTCACAGCGTGCACAGCGTACACAATGCTTGCTGTAGTTGGGGACAGCTGTGTGTGTGTGTGTGTACACTGTGTGTGTGTCTCACTGTGTGTGCACACTGTGTGTGTGTGTCTCACTGTGTGTGTACACTGTGTGTGTACACTGTGTGTACATACCAGTCTCACAGCGGGCACAGCTTACACAATGCTTGCTGTAGTTGGGGACAGCTGTGTGTGTGTGTCTCACTGTGTGTGTGTGTCTGTGTGTGTGTACACTGTGTGTGTGTGTGTACACTGTCTGTGTGTGTGTGTAACTGTGTGTGTACACTGTGTGTGTCTCACTGTGTGTACACTGTGTGTGTACACTGTGTGTGTGTACACTGTGTGTGTGTCTCACTGTGTGTACACTGTGTGTGTGTGTACACTGTGTGTACGTACCAGTCTCACAGCGGGCACAGCGTACACAATGCTTGCTGTAGTTGGGGACAGCTGTGTGTGTGTGTGTCTCACTGTGTGTGTGTGTGTGTCTGTGTCTGTGTGTGTGTCTCACTGTGTGTGTACACTGTGTGTGTGTGTACACTGTGTGTGTGTACACTGTGTGTGTACACTGTGTGTGTACACTGTGTACGTACCAGTCTCACAGCGGGCACAGCGTACACAATGCTTGCTGTAGTTGGGGACAGCTGTGTGTGTGTGTGTCTCACTGTATGTACACTGTGTGTGTGTACACTGTGTGTACATACCAGACTCACAGCGGGCACAGCGTACACAATGCTTGCTGTAGTTGGGGACAGCTGTGTGTGTTCACTGTGTGTGTGTGTCTGTGTGTGTGTGTCTCACTGTGTGTGTGTGTCTCACTGTGTGTCTCACTGTGTGTGTACACTGTGTGTGTACGTACCAGTCTCACAGCGGGCACAGCGTACACAATGCTTGCTGTAGTTGGGGACAGCTGTGTGTGTGTGTCTGTGTGTGTGTGTCTGTGTGTGTGTGTCTCACTGTGTGTGTGTGTGTCTCACTGTGTATCTCACTGTGTGTACACTGTGTGTGTGTACGTACCAGTCTCACAGCGTGCACAGCGTACACAATGCTTGCTGTAGTTGGGGACAGCTGTGTGTGTGTGTGTGTACACTGTGTGTGTGTACGTACCAGTCTCACAGCGTGCACAGCGTACACAATGCTTGCTGTAGTTGGGGACAGCTGTGTGTGTGTGTGTGTACACTGTGTGTGTGTCTCACTGTGTGTGCACACTGTGTGTGTGTGTCTCACTGTGTGTGTACACTGTGTGTGTGTGTACACTGTGTGTACGTACCAGTCTCACAGCGGGCACAGCGTACACAATGCTTGCTGTAGTTGGGGACAGCTGTGTGTGTGTGTGTGTACACTGTGTGTGTGTCTCACTGTGTGTACACTGTGTGTGTGTGTACACTGTGTATACGTACCAGTCTCACAGCGGGCACAGCGTACACAATGCTTGCTGTAGTTGGGGACAGCTGTGTGTGTTCACTGTGTGTGTCTCACTGTGTGTGTGTGTGTACACTGTGTGTGTGTACACTGTGTGTACGTACCAGTCTGACAGCGGGCACAGCGTACACAATGCTTGCTGTAGTTGGGGACAGCTGTGTGTGTTCACTGTGTGTGTCTCACTGTGTGTGTGTGTGTACACTGTGTGTGTGTACACTGTGTGTACGTACCAGTCTGACAGCGGGCACAGCGTACACAATGCTTGCTGTAGTTGGGGACAGCTGTGTGTGTGTGTGTGTCTCACTGTGTGTGTGTGTCTCACTGTGTGTGTACACTGTGTGTGTGTACGTACCAGTCTCACAGCGGGCACAGCGTACACAATGCTTGCTGTAGTTGGGGACAGCTGTGTGTGTATGTCTGTGTGTCTGTGTGTGTGTGTCTGTGTGTGTGTGTGTCACTGTGTGTGTCTCACTGTGTGTGTACACTGTGTGTGTGTGTACACTGTGTGTGTGTACATACCAGACTCACAGCGGGCACAGCGTACACAATGCTTGCTGTAGTTGGGGACAGCTGTGTGTGTGTGTGTGTGTCTCACTGTGTGTGTGTGTGTCTCACTGTGTGTGTACACTGTGTGTACGTACCGGTCTCACAGCGGGCACAGCGTACACAATGCTTGCTGTAGTTGGGGACAGCTGTGTGTGTGTGTCTGTGTGTGTGTGTGTGTCTCACTGTGTGTGTGTGTCTCACTGTGTGTGTACACTGTGTGTACACTGTGTGTACACTGTGTGTACGTACCAGTCTCACAGCGGGCACAGCGTACACAATGCTTGCTGTAGTTGGGGACAGCTGTGTGTGTTCCGTGCACACAGGCTGCACAAAGAGTGCGGGCACCGGGTCCAGAGCACGCAGAGAGCATGTACTCTCCTACACACACAGTACACACAGTACACAGTGTACACACAGTGTACTCTCCTACACACACACAGTGTACACAGTAAATAGTGTACACACACACAGTGTACTCTCCTACACACAGTGTACACACACACACACAGTGTACACACACAGTGGACACACACACACACACAGTGTACACATAGTGCAAACATAGTACACACACACAGTGTACACACACAGTACACACAGTGTACACATAGTGTACTCTCCTACACACAGTGTACACACACACACAGTGTACTCTCCTACACACAGTGTACACACACACACACACAGTGTACACAGTGTACACACACACAGTGTACACACACACACACAGTACACACAGTGTACACAGTGTACTCTCCTACACACAGTGTACACACACAGTATACACACACAGTCTACACACACACAGTGTACACACAGTACACACACAGTGTACACACACAGTGTACTCTCCTACACACAGTGTACACACACAGTACACACAGTGTACACAGTGTACACACACACAGTGTACACAGTGTACACATAGTACACACAGTGTACTCTCCTACACACACAGTGTACACACACACAGTGTACACACACACAGTGTACACACACACATAGTACACACACACACAGTGTACTCTCCTACACACACAGTGTACACACAGTGTACTCTCCTACACACAGTACACACACAGTGTACACACAGTGTACACAGTGTACACACACACACAGTGTACACACACACACACACAGTGTACACACAAAGTACACACAGTGTACACACACAGTGTACACACAGTACACACACAGTGTACACACAGTGTACACACAGTGTACACATAGTGTACTCTCCTACACACACAGTGTACACACACAGTGTACACACAGTACACACACAGTACACACACACAGTGTACACACACGCAGTACACACACAGTGTACACACACACAGTGTACACACACAGTACACACAGTACACACACAGTGTACACACACAGTACACACACAGTGTACAAACACAGTACACACAGTGGACACACACAGTACACACAGTGTACACACACAGTACACACAGTGTACACACACAGCACACACACAGTACACACAGTGTATACACAGTACACACACAGTACACACAGTGTACACACACAGTACACACAGCACACACACACAGTACACACACAGTACACACACAGTACACACACACACAGTGTACACACACAGTACACACAGTATACACAGTACACACACAGTACACACACAGTACATACACACAGTGCATACACACAGTACACACACAGTACACACAGTACACACACACAGTACACACACAGTACACAGTACACACACACAGTACACACAGTACACACACACAGTACACACACAGTGTACACACACAGTACACACACAGTGTACACACACAGTACACACACACAGTACACACACACAGTACACACACACAGTACACACACACAGTACACACAGTACACACACACACAGTACACACAGTACACACACACACAGTACACACACAGTACACACACAGTACACACAGTACACACACAGTACACACACACAGTACACACAGTACACACACAGTACACAGTACACACACAGTACACACAGTACACACACAGTAGACACACAGTACACACACACAGTACACACACACAGTACACACACAGTACACACACACAGTACACACACAGTACACACACACAGTACACACACAGTACACACACACAGTACACACACAATACACACACAGTACACACACACAGTACACACACAGAGTACACACACAGCACACGCACAGTACACACACTGTACACACACACAGTACACACACAGTACACACAGTACACACAGTACATACAGTACACACACAGTACATACAGTACACACACAGTACACACACACACAGTACATACAGTACACACACAGTACACACACACAGTTCACACACAGTACACACACACACAGGACACACACAGTACACACACACACAGTATATACACACAGTACACACACAGTACACACACACACAGCACACACACAGTACACACAGTGTATACACAGTACACACACAGTACACACAGTGTACACACACAGTACACACAGTACACACAGCACACACACACAGTACACACACAGTACACACACAGTACACACACACACAGTGTACACACACAGTACACACAGTATACACAGTACACACACAGTACACACACAGTACATACACACAGTGCATACACACAGTACACATACAGTACACACACACAGTACACACACAGTACACAGTACACACACACAGTACACACACACAGTACACACACAGTGTACACACACAGTACATGCACACACAGTGTACACACACAGTACACACACACAGTACACACAGTACACACACACAGTACACACACACAGTACACACAGTACACACACAGTACACACACACACAGTACACACACAGTACACACACAGTACACACAGTACACACACAGTACACACACACAGTACACACACAGTACACAGTACACACACAGTACACACAGTACACACACAGTAGACACACAGTACACACACACAGTACACACACACAGTACACACACACAGTACACACACACAGTACACACACAGTACACACACACACAGTACACACACAGTACACACACACAGTACACACACAGTACACACACACAGTACACACACACAGTACACACACAATACACACACAGTACACACACAGAGTACACACACAGCACACGCACAGTACACACACTGTACACACACACAGTACACACACAGTACACACAGTACACACAGTACATACAGTACACACACAGTACATACAGTACACACACAGTACACACACACACACAGTACATACAGTACACACACAGTACACACACACAGTTCACACACAGTACACACACACACAGTACACACACAGTACACACACACACAGTATATACACACAGTACACACACAGTACACACACACACAGTAAACACACACAGTACACACAGTACACACACACACAGTACACATACACACAGTACACACACACACACAGTACACGCACAGTACACACACACAGTACACACACAGTACACACAGTACACACAGAGTACACACACAGTACACAGCATGTAGGGTGAAGGCTGTAGTGGTGAATGCTGTAGGTGTAGTGAAGGCTGTAGTAGTGAAGGCTGTAGTAGTGAAGGCTGTAGTAGTGAAGGCTGTAGGTGTAGTGAAGGCTGTAGTAGTGAAGGCTGTAGTAGTGAAGGCTGTAGGTATAGTGAAGGCTGTAGTAGTGAAGGCTGTAGTAGTGAAGGCTGTAGGTGTAGTGAAGGCTGTAGTAGTGAAGGCTGTAGTAGTGAAGGCAGTAGGTGTAGTGAAGGCTGTAGTAGTGAAGGCAGTAGGTGTAGTGAAGGCTGTAGGGGTGAAGGCTGTAGTAGTGAAGGCTGTAGGTGTAGTGAAGGCTGTAGGTGTAGTGAAGGCTGTAGGTGTAGTGAAGGCTGTAGTAGTGAAGGCTGTTGTAGTGAAGGCTGTAGTAGTGAAGGCTGTAGTAGTGAAGGCTGTAGTAGTGAAGGCTGTAGGTGTAGTGAAGGCTGTAGTAGTGAAGGCTGTAGTAGTGAAGGCTGTAGTAGTGAAGGCTGTAGGTGTAGTGAAGGCTGTAGTAGTGAAGACTGTAGGTGTAGTGAAGGCTGTAGTAGTGAAGGCTGTAGTAATGAAGGCTGTAGTAGTGAAGGCTGTAGTAGTGAAGGCTGTAGGTGTAGTGAAGGCTGTAGTAGTGAAGGCTGTAGTAGTGAAGGCAGTAGGTGTAGTGAAGGCTGTAGTAGTGAAGGCTGTAGTAGTGAAGGCTGTAGTAGTGAAGGCAGTAGGTGTAGTGAAGGCTGTAGTGGTGAAGGCTGTAGTAGTGAAGGCTGTAGGTGTAGTGAAGGCTGTAGTAGTGAAGGCTGTAGGTGTAGTGAAGGCTGTAGTAGTGGAGGCTGTAGGTGTAGTGAAGGCTGTAGGTGTACTGAAGGCTGTAGTAGTGAAGGCTGTAGCAGTGAAGGCTGTAGGTGTAGTGAAGGCTGTAGTAGTGAAGGCTGTAGTAGTGAAGGCTGTAGTAGTGAAGGCTGTAGGTGTAGTGAAGGCTGTAGTAGTGAAGGCTGTAGTAGTGAAGGCTGTAGGTGTAGTGAAGGCTGTAGTAGTGAAGGCTGTAGTAGTGAAGGCTGTAGGTGTAGTGAAGGCTGTAGTAGTGAAGGCTGTAGTAGTGAAGGCTGTAGTAGTGAAGGCTGTAGTAGTGAAGGCTGTAGCAGTGAAGGCTGTAGTAGTGAAGGCTGTAGTGGTGAAGGCTGTAGTAGTGAAGGCAGTAGGTGTAGTGAAGGCTGTAGGTGTAGTGAAGGCTGTAGTAGTGAAGGCTGTAGTAGTGAAGGCTGTAGTAGTGAAGGCTGTAGGTGTAGTGAAGGCTGTAGTAGTGAAGGCTGTAGTAGAGAAGGCTGTAGGTGTAGTGAAGGCTGTAGGTGTAGTGAAGGCTGTAGTAGTGAAGGCTGTAGGGGTGAAGGCTGTAGTAGTGAAGGCTGTATGTGTAGTGAAGGCTGTAGTAGTGAAGGCTGTAGTAGTGAAGGCTGTAGGTGTAGTGAAGGCTGTAGTAGTGAAGGCTGTAGGTGTAGTGAAGGCTGTAGTAGTGAAGGCTGTAGGTGTAGTGAAGGCTGTAGTAGTGAAGGCTGTAGGTGTAGTGAAGGCTGTAGGTGTAGTGAAGGCTGTAGGTGTAGTGAAGGCTGTAATAGTGAAGGCTGTAGTAGTGAAGGCTGTAGGTGTAGTGAAGGCTGTAGTAGTGAAGGATGGGTGTAGTGAAGGCTGTAGTAGTGAAGGCTGTAGTAGTGAAGGCTGTAGTAGTGGAGGCTGTAGTAGTGAAGGCTGTAGGTGTAGTGAAGGCTGTAATAGTGAAGGCTGTAATAGTGAAGGCTGTAGTAGTAAAGGCTGTAGTAGTGAAGGCTGTAGGTGTAGTGAAGGCTGTAATAGTGAAGGCTGTAATAGTGAAGGCTGTAGTAGTGAAGGCTGTAGTAGTGAAGGCTGTAGGTGTGATCCTCACCTGCATGGCATTTGTTACAGCAGTAGTCCAGGTAGGGGAATTCATTTCCTGTGCAAGTGGAGATCTGGGCCCAGGTGGAGCAGATCAACACACAGCTCACCTGCACACACACACACAGACACACACAGTGAGACACACACACAGTGAGACACACACACACAGTGAGCCACACACACAGTGAGACACACACACACAGACACACACAGTGAGACACACTCACACAGTGACACACACACACACAGTGAGACACACACACACAGTGAGACACACACACAGTGAGACACACACACAGTGAGACACACACACACAGTGAGACACACACACACAGTGAGACACACAGTGAGACACACACACAGTGAGACACACACACACACAGACACACACAGTGAGACACACACACACAGTGAGACACACACACACACAGTGAGACACACACACAGACACACACAGTGAGACACACACACACTAACAGTGAGACACACTAACAGTGAGACACACACACATAGTGAGACACACAACAACAACCGCCATTCGCCACTAAGTGGCGGTGACATCACCACGACGCTTGTGCCAGGCTATGTGCACCCTGAGGCCACGTGAAGTGTCGAACGCCCGCTGGCAGGAGGTCACGGGGCAGACCCAGGTGCCACGGGTCGACTGACTGAGATGACTGGCTGATGCACCACCTGTGCCCCCTACTGTGCCAACCTGCTGTGCTTTAGCCACCCGGCGCTCCGGTCGTTGTTGTGAGCGTCGCTCCTCCGCCCTCCGTTGTTGTTGGAGGGCGACTACCTCCAACTGCCCAGTAGCATCCTTCACGAGCCTCTTCCACAGAGGCCGATCTTGACACTGCTGGTACCAGTCATCGGCAAGTCCACTCAGCTCCACGTCCTCCTGTACCACATCACTCCATCTCTTCTCTAGCCCGTGCCGCGCCCGCTTAGCCCCCTCAATCCGGCCGAACAAAAGCTGTTTCGGCATGCGGTGGCTGGGCATGCGGGCTACATGACCCAGCCATCGCAGCCTCCCCTGCCGGAGGAGCTCACTGATGGGACCTTGCCCAGATCTTACAAGGATTTGTGAGCTCCTCACACAATCCAGTCTGGTTAAACCCAGGATGGATCGTAGGCAGGCCAGCCTAAATGTTTCCAACTGGCGAAGATGTTCCATTAGGGGGGTCCACGTTTCGCAAGCGTAGAGAAGGGAGGGAATGACCGTGGCCGAGAAGACCTGAAGCTTAGTGCGGAGCGACAGACCAGGTAGCTTCCACACAGCGTTACGCAACCGATGAAAAGATATTGCCGCTCGACTGATTCGGAGTGAGACCTCTGCTGTTAAACTGGAGCCAGTCATAAGCACACTGCCCAGGTATGGGAAACTCTCCACTCTCTCCACAACTGCCCCATCACCGATTGGGAGTTGTGGGGGTGGAGTGTCCGATGGTACAAAATACGCAGGCAGGTGCTTAGTTTTGGTGGGGCTGATGGTAAGGCCCCACCTCTTAGTGGCACACTCCAGTCTCAGCAGCAGCGTCTCCAACTCCTCCTCTAAATGAGCAGCTATTACCAAATCATCAGCATACATAACGTGGTTGAGCAATAGGGAGCCATCCCTTGACCGCACCCGGGCGTCGATCAGCCTCCCATTATATCTGTACCATATGGAGATTCCCCCGGTACAGCTATTGAAGGCTTCACGAACTACGTGGTCAAAATAGATGTTAAATAATGTGGGAGCCAGAGGACATCCCTGTCGCAACCCAAGGTTAACAGGGAATGGCTCTGACTCCCGGCCACGTAGTTTTACCCGGGCCCGCTCACCATCATGAAGGTCCTTAATGATTGTGAGCAGAGGGTCAGGTACTCCAAAAGCACGAAGAACAACTCAGAGCCCAGGCCTACTGATGGTATCATAGGCCTTGACCAGGTCAATAAAGCAGAGATGTAGGTCTTGTTGGAATTCCCTACACCTCTGCTGTAGCAGACGGACAGAAAATATGGCATCTGTGCAGGACCGCCCTTTCCTGAAACCGCATTGGGGCTCCGCAAGCCTCTCCTCAGCGTGCCTGGCAAGGTGATGCTGAATAATCCTTGCCAGGACCTTTCCCGTTGGCATTCCCTACACCTCTGCTGTAGCAGACGGACAGAAAACACAGACACACACACAGACACACACATACATACACATAGACACACTGTGTGTGTTTGTGAGTGTATGTGTGTCTGTGTGTGTGTGTATGTGTGTATGTGTGTGTACACTGTATGAATGTGTGTGTATGTACACTGTATGTATGTGTGTATGTATCTGTATGTGTGTGTGTATCTGTGTGTGTGTATGTATCTGTGTGTATACACTGTATGTGTGTGTATGTATGTGTATGTATGTGTGTGTACACTGTGTATGTGTGTATGTGTGTCTGTGTGTGTATGTGTGTACACTGTATGTATGTGTGTGTGTCTGTGTGTATGTGTGTGTATACACTGTATGTGTGTGTATGTGTGTACACTGTATGTATGTGTGTGCGTATGTGTGTGTATGTGTGTGTATACACTGTATGTGTGTGTATGTATGTCTGTGTACACTGTATGTGTGTGTATGTGTGCATGTATGTGTGTATGTATGTGTGTGTGTATGTGTGTATAAACTGTATGTGTGTGTGTATGTGTACACTGTATGTGTGTGTACACTGTATGTGTGTGTGTATGAGGGTGTGTACACTGTATGTATGTGACGGTATGTGTGTACACTGTATGTGTGGGTGTGTACACTGTATGTGTATGTGTGTACACTGTGTATGTATGTGTGTATGTGTGTCTGTGTACACTGTATGTGTGTGTATGTATGTGTGTGTGTATGTGTGTGTATGTATGTGTGTGTGTATGTGTGTGTATGTGTGTGTATGTGTGTGTATGTGTGTGTATGTGTGTACACTGTATGTATGTGTGTGTACACTGTGTGTGTACACTGTATGTGTGTGTACACTGTATGTGTGTGTATGTATGTGTGTGTATGTGTGTATACAATGTATGTGTGTGTATGTATGTGTATGTATGTTTGTGTATGTGTGTGTATGTGTGTACACTGTATGTGTGTGTACACTGTATGTGTGTGTATGTGTGTACACTGTATGTGTGTGTATGTGTGTACACTGTATGTGTGTACACTGTATGTGTGTACACTGTATGTGTGTACACTGTATGTGTGTGTATGTGTACACTGTATGTGTGTACACTGTATGTGTATGTGTGTATGCATGTGTGTGTACACTGTATGTGTGTACACTGTGTGTGTGTACACTGTATGTGTGTACACTGTGTGTGTGTACACTGTGTGTGTGTACACTGTGTGTGTGTACACTGTATGTGTGTACACTGTATGTGTGTACACTGTGTGTGTGTACACTGTATGTGTGTGTACACTGTGTGTATGTGTGTGTGTCTGTGTATGTATGTGTGTACACTGTGTGTATGTGTGTTTACACTGTGTGTATGTGTGTGTGTACACTGTATGTGTGTATGTGTGTACACTGTGTGTGTGTACACTGTGTGTATATGTGTGTGTACACTGTGTGTATGTGTGTATACACTGTATGTGTGTGTGTCTGTGTGTGTGCACACTGTGTATGTGTGTGTGTATGTGACTGTATGTGTGTTTGTGTATGTATGTGTGTACAGTGTGTATGTGTGTATGTATGTGTACACTGTGTGTATGTGTGTGTATGTCTGTATGTATGTGTATGTGACTGTATGTATGTGTGTGTGTCTGTGTGTGTGTCTGTATGTGTGTGTACACTGTGTGTGTATGTATGTGTACACTGTGTATGTACAGTATGTATGTCCGTGTGTGTACACTGTGTGTGTATGTGTGTACACTGTGTGTATGTGACTGTATGTATGTGTGTGTCTGTGTGTACACTGTGTGTATGTATGTGTGTACACTGTGTGTGTGTACACTGTGTGTATGTACTGTATGTACAGTGTGTGTCTGTCTCCCCTCACCGCCGCCACCAGACAAGCCCCTCGCCATTCCCTGCCAGCCGCCATCGCCTCCTCCTCCTCCTCACATCTTACACCGCCTCTCTCTCGCCCTCTTGTTTGTTGTTGTTGTGTTTGTTGTTGTTGTCAACGAGAGCGGGAACCCCAAACGGGACCAAGTCGCCTTACAAAGTCACTCGCAAAACAAAAATCTCGTTCGACTTCCGGCGCGGTGACGTCACGCGGCAGTTTGCCCATCGACGCGATGACGTCATCCGGAGGCGGCCTAACGACGCGGTGACGTCATCCGGCTGCGGCCTGCCCACTGCGACGACGTCATCCCGGCGAGCGGTCTTAACGACGCGATGACGTCGTCAGGCGAGCTGCCTTCCGACGCGATGACGTCATGCGGCGGCGGCCTTCCGATGCGATGAGACTCACAGAGACCCACACTCATAGAGACCCACACTCATAGACACTCATAGAGACTCATAGAGACTCATAGAGACCCACACTCATAGAGACTCATAGATACCCACACTCATAGACACTCATAGACTCATAGAGACCCACACTCATAGAGACTCAGAGACCCACACTCATAGAGACTCATAGATACCCACACTCATAGACTCATAGATACCCACACTCATAGAGACTCATAGATACCCACACTCATAGTGACTCATAGAGACTCACACTAGACACTCGGAGACCCACACTCAGACACTCATAGAGACCCACACTCATAGAGACCCACACTCATAGACACTCATAGAGACCCACACTCATAGAGACCCACACTCAGACTCATAGACACTCATAGAGACCCACACTCATAGACACTCATAGAGACCCACACTCATAGACACTCAGACACCCACACTCATAGACACCCACACTCATAGACACTCAGACACCCACACTCATAGACACCCACACTCATAGACACTCATACACACCCACACTAATAGACCCCCACTCAGAGACCCATAGAGACTCACACCCATAGAGACCCACACTCATAGACACCCACAGACCCACACTACAGAGACACCACAGGACACAGAGACACCACAGGAGACACCACAGGACACACTACAGACCACAGAGACACCACAGGACACACTACAGACCACAGACACAACAGGAGACACCACAGGACACAGACACCACAGGATACACCACAGGACACTACAGGAGACACTACAGACCACAGATACACCACAGGACACACCACAGGACCCACCACAGGCCACTACAGAGACACCACAGGACAAACCACAGGACACACCACAGGAGACACTACAGACCACAGAGACACCACAGGAAACAGACACACCACAGGACACACTACAGGACACACTACAGACCACAGACACCACAGGACACACCACAGGACACACTATAGAGACACCACAGGACACACCACAGGACACAGAGACACCACAGGACACACCACAGGACACAGAGACACCACAGGACACACTACAGGACACTACAGGACACAGACACCACAGGACACACTACAGGACACTACAGGACACAGAGACACCACAGGACAGACCACAGGACACAGAGACACCACAGGACACACCACAGGACACACCACAGGACACACCACAGAGACACCACAGAGACACCACAGAGACACACCACACACTACAGGACACAGACACCACAGGACACACCACAGGACACTACAGGACAGACACCACAGGAGACACTACAGGACACAGACACCACAGGACACACTACAGACCACAGAGACACTACAGGACACTACAGGACAGACACCACAGGACACACTACAGGACACTACAGGACACAGACACCACAGGACACACTACACACCACAGGAGACACCACAGAGACACCACAGGACACACCACAGGACACAGAGACACCACAGGACACACTACAGACCACAGAGACACCACAGGACACACTACACACCACAGGACACACCGCAGAGACACCACAGAGACACTACAGGACACACCACACACACCACAGGACACACCACAGGACACACCACAGGACACACCACAGGACACAGACACACCACAGGACACAGACACTACAGGACACACTACAGACACCACAGGACACACCACAGGACACAAAGACACTACAGACACACTACAGGACACTACAGGAGACACTACAGACAAACTACACACTACAGGACACACCACAGGAGACAGAGACACGACAGGACACAGACACCACACTACACACCACAGGACACACTACAGACACCACACTACACACCACAGGACACACTACAGACACCACAGGACACCACCAGAGACACACCACAGGACACACCACAGACACTACAGGACACACTACACACCACAGACACCACAGGACACACCACAGGACACACCACAGGACACGGACACACCACAGGACACACCACAGGACACGGACACACCACAGGACACACTACAGACACCACAGGACACAGACACACCACAGGACACACTACACACCACAGGAGACACTACAGGACACACCACAGGACACACTACAGGACACACCACAGGACACACTACAGACACCACAGGACACACCACAGGACACACCACAGGACACAAAGACACTACAGGAGACACCACAGGAGACAGACACCACAGGACACAGACACACCACACTACAGGACACACCACAGGAGACACTACACACACTACAGGACACACTACAGAGACACCACAGACACACCACAGGACACACCACAGACACACCACAGGACACACCACAGACACTACAGACCAGACACCACAGGACACTACAGACACTACAGGAGACACCACAGGACACAGACACACCACAGGACACACTACAGACACCACAGGACACACTACAGACACCACAGGACACACCACAGGACACACTACAGACACTACAGGAGACACCACAGGACACACTACAGACACTACAGGAGACACCACAGGACACACTACACACCACAGGAGACACCACAGAGACACCACAGGACACACCACAGGACACAGAGACACCACAGGACACAGACACCACAGGACACAGACACCACAGGACACACTACAGACCACAGAGACACCACAGGACACACTACACACCACAGGACACACCGCAGAGACACCACAGAGACACTACAGGACACACCACACACACCACAGGACACACCACAGGACACACCACAGGACACAGACACACCACAGGACACAGACACTACAGGACACACTACAGACACCACAGGACACACCACAGGACACAAAGACACTACAGACACACTACAGGACACTACAGGAGACACTACAGACAAACTACACACTACAGGACACACCACAGGAGACAGAGACACGACAGGACACAGACACCACACTACACACCACAGGACACACTACAGACACCACACTACACACCACAGGACACACTACAGACACCACAGGACACCACCAGAGACACACCACAGGACACACCACAGACACTACAGGACACACTACACACCACAGACACCACAGGACACACCACAGGACACACCACAGGACACACCACAGGACACGGACACACCACAGGACACACCACAGGACACGGACACACCACAGGACACACTACAGACACCACAGGACACAGACACACCACAGGACACACTACACACCACAGACACACCACAGGAGACACTACAGGACACACCACAGGACACACTACAGGACACACCACAGGACACACTACAGACACCACAGGACACACCACAGGACACACCACAGGACACAAAGACACTACAGGAGACACCACAGGAGACAGACACCACAGGACACAGACACACCACACTACAGGACACACTACAGAGACACCACAGACACACCACAGGACACACCACAGACACACCACAGACACACCACAGGACACACCACAGACACTACAGACCAGACACCACAGGACACTACAGACACTACAGGAGACACCACAGGACACAGACACACCACAGGACACACTACAGACACCACAGGACACACTACAGACACCACAGGACACACTACAGACACCACAGGACACACCACAGGACACACTACAGACACTACAGGAGACACCACAGGACACACTACAGACACTACAGGAGACACCACAGGACACAGAGACACTACAGGAGACACCACAGGACACAGAGACACTACAGGACACACCACACTACACTACACACTACAGGACACACCACACTACACTACACACTACAGGACACACCACACTACACTACACACTACAGGACACACCACACTACACTACACACTACAGGACACACCACACTACACTACACACTACAGGACACACCACACTACACTACACACTACAGGACACACCACACTACACTACACACTACAGGACACACCACACTACACTACACACTACAGGACACACCACACTACACTACACACTACAGGACACACCACACTACACTACACACTACAGGACACACCACACTACACTACACACTACAGGACACACCACACTACACTACACACTACAGGACACACCACACTACACTACACACTACAGGACACACCACACTACACTACACACTACAGGACACACCACACTACACTACACACTACAGGACACACCACACTACACTACACACTACAGGACACACCACACTACACTACACACTACAGGACACACCACACTACACTACACACTACAGGACACACCACACTACACTACACACTACAGGACACACCACACTACACACTACAGGACACACCACACTACACTACACACCACAGGACACACCACACTACACTACACACCACAGGACACACCACACTACACTACACACCACAGGACACACTACACACACCACACACACACACTACAGGACACACCACAGGACACAGACACACCACACTACACACTACAGACACCACAGGACACCACCAGAGACACGAATTCTGCCGCGAGAGATTTTTTTGGTGCCTCTTTTATTAAATCCGTGCACGGGCGACGGGGTACAGAAAGGTCGCGACCTTTGCTTGCTCGCCACCAATCCACGCCCACCTCGCCACCCCCCCCACCACCCACCCCCCCACCCACAGATGACCTCTCGGTGACCTCTGGGTGACCTCTCGAGTGTCCGTAGCCGTCTCCTCCACCTCAATCTGGTGGGGGGTCGGGGGGGGGGTGGTGGGTGGAGGAGAACGGAGAGAGGTTAAAGGTTAGGTGGGGTGGGTGGGGTTCACGATGACAGTGCTGAGTCTGTGGGTGGCAGTGC